TGTGTGTTTATATTATAATGTATAATGAAGGAAAAGTGAGTGTAAAAAAGCCCCAGTCCTGGTTCTGGTTTCTGTTTGTTAATCCCGTAAGCTCACCACATAAGACTGTATATAAAAGAGCATGATTTCCATTTTATTTTATTTTTTTTTAATGTATATAAATCTTTGGTAGAATCCATGCCCAAAATTATAGATGAAAAATTTATTGCATGAACACAACCCAGCCATATAAATTTTTTATTACAAATAGGGCTCTGAAACTTGAATAAAATATGTCAGTTTATTATACAGTATTCCCCCCACCCCCAAAACATGATATGAATGGAAAATTTAACTTCTGCACTTCTGTGATGCTTCTGCAAGGTGCTGGGCTGGTGGTGGAGGAGAGGAACCTGCTGTATTTCACTGCAGAGCAGGCTCAGCATGGGCAGTGGCAGTGCTGCCTTGCTCATCTGGCATTGCTGGTCATTTTTCTCCTGCGCTACACGGGGATCACCTTTACTGTTTCCAGGATAGATGTGGTAGCTCGTGGGCTGCTCAGAGGCTCAGGTTCTGCTGGGGAGCGGCTCTACAGAGGTAAAAAATGATCCTGGCACCCATTCACTGGGTTTGTGCAAACCAGCAGACAATAAAGAGGGTCACTGCCACCCTGGTGAATTCCAGGCGGGATTCAGCCTGCTCTGGAAAACACGGTGTGTTTTTGGGAGAGCTCCACAAAGTATCCCGTCTCTCGCAGTCAGGTAACCATGGAGTGGTTTAGCCCTGGGAAGTGCCATGGCACTCCAAAGAGGTTTTTTTGGTGGAGGAGTGCAGCAACACTTCACCGTCTGTGTCACGGTCTACAAAAAAGAACAACATTGTCAGTCTGTTGACATTGGTCCTGTCCACGGGCCAGACTTTCCTGGGAAGGTTTTATTCTTTCCAAACAATGGAGCGCTCCCTTCCAGTGCCGCCAGCCCTGCTTCCATGCAGCCGCCGTGCAGCCCAGCTGGAGCTGTGCTCCTGCTGCAGCTGAAAAGGAAAACTGCAGCCTGAAAAGTCCAGAGCTTCCGTCCTGGAGCTGGAGGTCCCTGCCTGTGCAGGGTTTGGGATCAGGCAGATCTGGGGCTCGCTCGTGCTGGGGTAGCAGATGCTTAAGGAACAGATCCAAAGAGGAACAGAGAATAGAGATGTGATAGGAAATGCTACTTTGAAACACTAGCCTGTTCTGTTGCTTGGGTTTTGTTTTTTTCCTTTATCCCTTAATCATAATTGATTCTTGGAAGTAGAGAGTAAAATAGCTTCAGCATGTTTTTTTGATCCTGTTTGCCATGGTTGTGGTTGATACCAGATCCCCTTGAGCTTCTCTTGACCAGTAACCTTGAGCCCAGTGCACAGACTCACTCAAACCCCAGCTAGCTCAGGGTTAAAAATTCCAACCAATAACTTTTCTCTAACTAAAAAAGCCCCCAAATAAAACCCATTGTGCTATTCAAGGTTAAGCTTCCTTAAACATAAAACTAGATTCCTTGGTGATTTTTTTTTTTTTTTTAATCAGCAATCTTAATAGTGGCTCCTCACTATAATATTTCCAACTCCATCTGAAATCATTTAAATCCTCCCCTTAATAACATGCACTTTATTGTAATATACAGATTCTTTGGCTTCCTACCAGCCTTAGCTTAAGGCACCAATGAAACTCGTTGCCGCAGGGGGCCGTGGATTCAAGAGGGGCTCGCATCTACTGTATATTTTGTTTTGTATGTTTTCCAATGGCTCTAATTATTGCAGGTGGTAGAATTTAACTGGCAGTGTTGTTGCTAAAGAAAATAGGCATAAAGTGTATACTGTTTTTCAGAGTGGCTATCAAATATATAGAAAAGAGAAAATCAAATGAATTGTTAAACTGCTCTATAGTAAGTGATTTTATTGATTTAATGCAAATGCTTATGAAAACGATCTTCCATTTATATCAATTATGTATGGGCAAAAATTAATTTATTCCTCCGGTCACCTGTTTGGCTAACTGACTCAGCAGGACAGACATTCCCCCTCCTGTTGTAGCCGAGCCCGCAAAACACTAAACGTTCCGAAAACTGGAATTTGAAAGTTTCCATGTGCAAAACAACAAAAAAGCCCCGACAGGAGTTAGTGCCAACTGCTGAAAAAGCAGAGAGCGAGCGGTGGAGGCTGAGCAAGACTCCCTCGTCCTAGGCAAGACTGTAAAACACAACGGCTCTGATTTTGCCAATCCCTTAACCATGTGGCGGCACATTTATATGTGCCGGATCATCTGCGGCATCTGAATAAAATCAGGGAAGCAAAATTCTGCATATAAACATTTTGGCTAAGTGCCTCAACTCAGTCTTCTTATCTGGGGTTTCCACAAGATGCCACCTTGCATAACAATGCTGAGCACACGCTTGCCCAGTCCATGTTTTCGGTAGCCTCCCGTGATCCCCACCACAGGATTGAGTGGCTTTAATTCCACCTCGTCCTGTGTTTCACTGCTCTGTGCCTCTCCATGAAGAACAGTGCTTAAAGCTGTGTTGTCTTTTCCTAGGAAATTAATATTTAATTTCAGCAGAAGGGGCGGGTTGCAGGGAAGCAGAATTAGGAGAAACGCTCTCACCAGAGCCGAGGTGATGATAAAAGGAGGAAGTTAAAGATTCAGCCTGCAGACAAACGTCCTAGGGCCAGTGGAGCCCCTCTTGTGCCACCAGCCTTGGTGGAAAAACAGCACTGGAGGCAGACAAAAGTACTTTGTTTATCCCAAGCCAGGAGCAGCTCAGGCTGCGTGTGCTGCCCACCGGCTGCAGGGCTGCTCCGGAGCCAAGGTGCCAGAGCCGTGCCCGGCTCCCGCGGCCGCCACCGCGGCCTCCAGATTTTAGGAAAGGGAAATATTCCCCCAGTCCCACATTTCAGCAGGAACCTCTCCAAATCTATAAATTTCTGTGGAATTCTGAGCCTACTTGAAACATAAAGCCCAAACTCTGACTGAGCCATGGCTGGCTGGAGGGAAAGGAAAAAACCTAAAAAATAAGCAAAAGGCTAATGCCCGCCCTGTAAAATGAAATCCGTTGAATGTTGATTTTGAATGTTAACTGAATATTTTACATTCCTAATATTTTACTTTTGTTACTACCTTTGCGGTATCGGAAACACGAAACTTCTTGCCAAAATCCAGAATACAACAGCACTGTGCATGTTACCCCCATAGTGTATCTGCTGGCACTGATTTCAGCTTCAGGGAGAGATAATTCAGAAGATCAATATTTAAAACAAAATTGCAGAAATGAGGATTTTTTTATTTTTTTTTTCCCTGAGCTTCGTTGGCGAAATTATTAAAAATAATAAATACAAAAGAGAGGAAATGGATTCTGGGATGCACTGGGTTTATATCACTTTTTAAGGGAATTTAATTGATTTTGAATAGAATATCGTGACTGAAGCTTTCTATGCTAAATACTCTGAGTGTTATATTCTGAAATTTATCAAGTTTTGTTTTGTGAGCACTTTTTTTTTTACTTGTAGTTTTTAATTTATACAAGATTGTCCTCTAAGCTTCTGAATGGTACCTAAAGCAGACAGTCAGCAGGTAAAAAAAAAAAAAAAAAAAATTGAATATTTAAAATAGGCATTTTCTTTATAGTGCTCTGCGGTAATTAAAATCTTCATTTGCTTAAAAGCAAGGAACCTTTTTAAAGCAATAAATTAGCATTGCTTGACCCAAGGTCACTAGTAGTACTGCTTCTTCCAGCACTATTAATACCTCAAAGAAAAAGAAGGGGTGGTGTTATGACTCTGTTGCAATAGAAGTAAGATTTTCAATTTAATCACAGTTAAGTGTCGTGACCTTTTGATCTTGCATTGACTTCTCACTGAAATGTGGTCAAATTTCAGACAGCTAATTCCAAACTCTGCAAAGTCAAGGTGAAGTCAGAAAATGGGTTTGTCACGATGAGGGGTGGTGTTGAGGCATTAGCAAGTGGTTTCATCGCCTAAGTTTTGTTTCACAGCAAGAACTTTTTCTACAGGATCAATAAATTACAGAACAATTTCTGGGGAAAGGAGAAGAAAGTGTATTAATTGCAAAAAAACAGTAATTTGAGGGATTTCTTAAAAAAATATTTTTTCCCACAGGTAAAGGGACTTTTTTTCCCAGTTCATAGTGACAGAAATAATTAAGAAGGAAAATACTATTTGACTAAAGGTTCTACTAAGAATAATTTTTGGACCAAAGAGCAATCATCTTCACATAGAGTTAATAATGTATAAAAAATGCAAAACACTCATATTTACAGATATACTTTTACAGGTAATTTTATTGTTTTAGGCAAATAAATTGTGCTTGTTGAGGAGTGTTAGCTGGGAGTTTGTGGGATTATTTTACACAAGTTCTAAAGCAGGTCATCCAGTATCTGGTCTCACTTATCCCACTGTGAATCACCACCAGCACCGTGCATTTTAGGGATCTTGTGGTGCTGTAACCACTGTGAAAGCACGCCAGAAAATCAGCTCTTCCCTCAGTTTTGCAGATTTTGTTCCAGAAATGTGTAGCCAACAATCTCCACGACTGTGTAGGGTTGCTAAGTTACCTTTCTATGCCTGCTTGGAGATATGTTTTGAGACTTTACTATGTGTTGGAGTAAGGCTCTGGTTTGTATACAACATAGAGGCTGCATTATAAAAAACATGTAGGAGAGTCGTTTAAATATGCCTTCTTTAAAAAGAAGGATTCTCAAAGCTTAATTTATGCCAACACACACCCCGAGCACTCTGTGTAGTGCCATAAACAAGATTCCCTTTTTTTAAAAATTTTTTTTCCGTTTTTTTTCCTTTTTTTTTTTCTTTTTTGCTAGCAAACATATTACCTAGGCACGGGACTTTTGCATTATCATGTCCTAGTGCAACACTCCTGTCCTCAGTTTGTACTCTCAGCCTTTTGAGGAAGTCTGGCGCCTCTGATCTATTTTCCACAGCAGACCCTGTAATTTTTGGCTGTATTTTATGTTTTTCAGATTCAAGTCAATCTGAAAGTCCCAGCCAGCCAAGTGAAGCTGATATTAAGGACCAGCCAGAAAATGGTAAGTTCTTACCTGCTGCTCCTGCTTTGGGATATTAAAACAGCCCATATTTATAAAGATTTTTTTTTCCCCCCATGTCTAATATAAAAAGATGATTCAGAATAATTGACATGGGATGGCTACAGATAGGTTGTGCACTCTCCTCATAGTTAAAATGCTACTGTTCCATTAATCTAAGGTAGCATTTCTTTGTCCAGTCCTGGAGAGAAACTTTTTTTTTTTTTTTTCCCCCTTTAAAATTAATTTTAATTAGGGAGATGCCATTAAAGAGCCTGCTGTATGCAACCCTTATCCTTATTCCTCCGTAGCAAAGGCTTTCAGTCCCTGGGCCTTGAGTCATGACCTTCAGGGGAGTAGATACAACAGGAAAACAGATCAGGGAGGTTCAGCTACAGCTCCTTGGTGCTTCTCTCCACATTCTCAAGTGGCAGTGGCTGGAGTGGCAGCAGCAGAAGGACTGGGACTTTTGGGAAAACTCATGTTCTCTAAACCAGGACAGATTCAAAGTAGAAGCAATGGCTTCTACTGAACCAATGGCTTGCTTTGCAAAGCAGCCTGGAAAAAAAAATAATAAAATTCAATAATAGTGGATTTCTGTGGGAACTGTATGTGAAATGATGATTGTGTGTGTAATGGAACAGCTTCTCTTCCTTTTTTGTGTTCAGCTAAGGTAGACCTCAACAATTTTTGTTGGCCCATTGGCAACTGAGTTTTGTTTTGCTACTTCTATTTAGGACTTTGAATAAGGGATGGCTATTAGTAGTAGTTCTTCTTGACTTCTTTTATCTATAACCAGTCCATTTTTTAATAAGACCTAAATGTAGACTGGGCTACCCTCTGTACTTGGGGTCTACTCTGCATACACAGAAAATAATTTATGTGAAGGGTTTATGCCCCTGAAGCCCTGTCACTCTCTGGGATGTGTAAATCCATGTAGAAATACTGTATCTGTAGTAATACACGTGTGATTTCCCTTTCACAGAGAACTGTGCTTTGCCTTAAACCCCTGCAGCTGTGTGTGTGTTCAGTGGGGGTTTTGGGGGCTTCAGCAGCAGCCAAACAAACTACAAGGGACAGTGGGGCTGTGGGGCTGCATTCACATCTGGAGTGCTTTGGGGTGAGGGTTTAAACAGGGGATGATTTAAGGGAAGAAGAAAAGGTTTAGGTACACAAAAACCTTTAAACTACCAGCATGAATCACAGGACGTGGAACATAGGGCTTATTGGGCTGGCAAGATTTTGGCTATTTGGGCTCCTGTATTTTCCTCCCATTAGATATGAAAGGTTTCATATTTTGATAGATTTTGTGCTGTTCATCTCTAAACATACCATCTTAAAACATTGCTGTTGTTTCTGAAAGACAGCGCCTAATTTCCCTTATCAATCCTGTTCACAGAAATTCTAATTTGTAGCCAAAGGATTGCAAGGTTAAGAGAAGAACTGACTAAACTGTGATTTTTGCTCTGCCAATTCTGCTATTTTTTTTTCAATGGGGAATATGTTGCCTGTGTTTATTAAATCATATTTTAATTTAGAATGTATTAGGCACCAAGCATGTTATTATTTTGTGTTTAGATAATATTCTTTTGCAGCTATTAAAGCACAGTTCATCTTACCCTGCAGTTTCTTAGTCTTTAACAAAGCTTGCTACTCAACAACTGCCCCGAAAAGCAGCAATGTCGGTGTTTAATAATGTAGAATCTGTAAGAGCCTAGTGAAATGAAATATCTCTGATTTGGAGCCTGAGTCTTCTTTGTAAAACAATCTTTTAGTGAATTCTTGGAACTTTGCTGGCGACCTGCAAAAGGTACTTTTTTTAATTTTTTCTTTTTTTTTTAATAAACAGGAAAAGGATTTTTCTCTCTCTCTTTTTTTTTTTTTTCCTTCTCAGTTTTACTAAAGGGTATTTTTTTTTCTCCACCACAGCAGCAGCCTCCTCACTGGTTCTGCACCTTCTGCAGTGCGTGTGTGGGAGATTTTCTAAGGCAGAGTGTTGGCCCTGAAGGGCTCGTTCCCCCCGGGGCAGGCGCTGAGCTCATTCCCAGCACACACAGCCCCCAGCTCCAGGGTTCCCGGTGTAGATCAACACAGATCTGCAGCTCTTATCTCCTGGACGTGAGGATGAAAGCAAAACTGCAGGCTTTAGAAAATGAAAAACTGCACGCCCAGGAACGGACACAATAAATCATATTAACTGCGTTGTTCTACACTTGCTGTAGACCCACTTCCACAGGGCCTGATCCAAATCCCTCCGGAGTCAACGGGAGGCTCGTAATTGATTTTGCTGAGAGTGGGAATGAGCCCACACAGAGAGGAATTTTTTATTATTATTTTTTTATATTTTTTTTTTAAATCAAAGGAAAAATAGAATGGTGAATAATCTTATTCCCACTGATGCCAACAGTGGAGTGACCAGATTGAGGGCAGATTTGGAAGCATTTTTGCATGTGTTTCTGGAAGGCACAAAGAAGTGTATCGATTCTGCCTTTTCCATGCATGCATTCCTTCATTTTAAAAAAATAAATCTTTAAAGGCCTTGTGAGGGTTATACAGCCTCTCTACTTGCCTGTTAATATCCTTTCTGTTCCACTCCATAAATTCTAGAGCTATTTATTATACACATATATTTTGCATACCTTGAGTAATGTAGGTTCAGAAGGGTCAACTATACGGCCCTGAAAAAGAAGGCCTCCTACTACAGATTTTAATTTATCATCCTAAATTGTATGTGTTGTTTTGCAAAGCCTGTGTGTCTAACCTTCATTGAAGTGAAGTTCATGGGAGGAAAAAAGCTTTTCTTTTTTAGAGCCACTCATGTGTTTTTTCTAGTGGGCTTTGCTGGTTGGTTTTCTGGAGCAGGATCATCACACACAGGGGAGATGGTGACATCTTCTGCTCTCAGTGGTGGCTTCAAAACCAACTCTGGCCTTTGCCTCAGCCTTCATTAAGGCAGAATAGTTTCCAGACAGTCATCCAGTCAAATCACTGCAAATATTTAACAGAAATATTAAGCATTTCATTATTTCTAAAGAGAGAGATGCATCATGATGGCCATGAAAAGCAAACATGCAGGCGAGACAGGGCTCGTTGGTGCATGGATGGTCCAAGGTCCAGATGTTTTGTGCTGGAGCTGGGGGTAAAACTAACACAGGGTGTGCACAGTGCTGCTCTGTCACCATGGGAAACAGCTTTTTGGGGAGAGGCAGAACATCCAGAATTCCTCTGTTTGTTCTATGGGTGAGGAAATTTGCGGGAGGGATAATGAAAGAGGGCAGCAACTTCATCTGAAAGGCAGGAATATTTATGATTCCCTTATATTTTGCTCGAACTAGGGATTTTTTTTTTTCTGACCAGCTGGGTGGAACACCCATGTGGAAAATTCCCCACTTTTGTAGTTGCCTAATGGTATGTAAAAGCTTCATTTCAGTTGGCACCGCAAAGTGATTTTGCAATTCACCCAATCAAAAAAAAAAAAAAAAAAAAAAAAAAAAGTTTATTGATTTTAAAAGCTTGTTAAATGCACTGGTTTGGTGTTGTGTTTTATAAACAAACTAGTTTTCAGTGAAGTGAGGATGACAAAATGGGTAGTCTGATGTAGTGAAGTGACTGCATGCCCGGGGATCAGGAACAACTGAATTCCCAGCTCAGCACTGCTGTGGACACTCTCTCAGGCTTTTATTCTCACTTCCAGTCGTGGAAACAGCTATCAGATAGATTTTCTTTTTTGCAAGTAGGATTATTTTAAACTTTTGTAGGGAAACCTTTCGGTCTTTTTGTCTGCAAAGCGAGGATATTTGCAATTCTGGCTTTCAGAGAATATTAAAAGTCCAATCCTGCTCTGCTCCATCAGGAGCTGAACTCTGGAGAAAGGCAGGGAAGATGTAGAAGAGAGTGGTGAATAACTGTGGTCCAGAGCTGTGCTGCTGCTGTCAGTAAATGGATGTCAGGCAGTGTTTGTGTTTGATGTGGTGGCACTGGTGAATTAATAAGTGCAGAGTAAAGGTGCAGACGAGGTGTGCTGTGCAAAGCAGGAGAATGCTGTGTCATTTCTGACAGGCTGCTCGTGGCTCTCGGGTGGGAGGACTGTGATTTGGTGGCTCAGAGTTGGTAGCACAGCACTTTGATTGTAGATGAACTAGTTCTTTTTTAAAGAAGTTGGTAAATTCTCCCGTTTCAAGTGAGCAGGGCAGCATTCATTATTACAGCTGATTACAAACGTGTGCCAAATCCATTGCTCAAACAATTTCTGAAGAGGGAGAGGCGTTTTTCTAAAGAAATAAAAATGTGTAATGCCCAAACCAAATGCTTTTTAGCTTTAATGCAGTCTCACTGCTTTGAGCTGCAAGTACCTTAACTGCAGGAAATGAAAGGCACATTGTTCATTGAAACATTAAAAAAAAAAAGAAAGAAAAAAGAAAAACAATGATGCGCCGTAACTCGCAGAACTAGTTTCTCAGCCTTACAGTAATTACACTGGACTTGTAAATATCATCTGTGAATTCTTTGCTTTAAGTAGGGTTGGACTTGAGTATAAAACCTTAAAAAAAAAGTTGAAGTATATGCTTACTTTTCCATGCCTTAAAACAGAAAGGAAGAATTTCTGGTCCTTGAACTGTGGGGGAAAGACAGGGCCACAGTGGGAACAAATGCAAAGAGAAGTTTCTTCTTTTCTAGGCAAAGCTGGTCACGGAAGGCATGATTTAGCTTTGGCTGGAGGAGGAGGTTATGTGTGGGAAGACCCCTCTGCCTAAACTAACAGGCTGCAGAGTCCAGTCCCTCTGTGAATGGTTTGTTTCTGGTCCCAAATTTGGCATTCCAGGCAGTGGGATAGCTTTGGCCAGTGGAAGCAGTGCCTGCCTGGCCCAAGGCTTGGGCACCCTTCTCGGACTCTGAGTTCACCCTTCAGACCCCCATCCCAAGCAGAGAAGGAGTAGCTGCTCTTTGTGGTTGTCCCCATCACTCAGCCAGCCTTGCAGGTTAAATGGCAGCTGAGTGACATC